CGGAAAAATATTTACGCACCGACAAAAATAGAACAGATGATTTTACTAAACGCAGAATGGAAAGTCAGTCATCGTTCAAAGGAAACAACTATGTTAGCACACATGAATCATTAAAAAAAAAAAATTTTTTGCAGAACTTCCCGCTGTGAAGCTTTTCTACAAGACAAAGATTATTTTTAAGTGCTTTACGTAAGTCATAAAAGACCAACATTTAGAAATGGAACAGAAGTATTTAACCTCTTCAGACATGACTTCTTTTTTTGGGATACATTTTCATTTTCTCCTATTTAAAAGTTTAAAAACTAACCATCATCTTTGAACAGCAGGGTTTTTTTTCCTTTAAAAACCTTGATGAGACAGAGGGTTTATTAAACAGCACAACACAAAAACAACACCATAGTTTAATAAAGTAAAAAACACAGGAGGTTTTACAGGTAACATTTTCCAAATGTATGAGCAAAGTGAGCAACAGCCTGCATATTGTAGCTAAAGGCAAACGACAGACATACTGACAGTAATATTTAAACCCACAGGGTTGTGTTGTCCAGCTGTGTGTGTCTGTGAGTGAGTGTGTGTTTCTCACCAGCCTGTCGATGACATTCTGGATGGTGCTGTACCACTCTCTGATCAGCGAGTCCGTCTCTGACTGCAGAAGAAACTCGTTGCCTGTCACAGTCCTCAACTAACAAAACAAAACAAAACAAAACATTTGACCCATGTTAACTCCAGACGCACTGTCCCACTCTCCACTGGCTTTCCCACCCATCTGTGTGAATCCACTTTAACAAAAGTTGACATGTAAGTTAATTATTTGGACGTGTTGTAGTAGCTTGACCGTAATGTTATAATTAGCTCATCAGTTTATCAGATTTCTCTTTAAAAATATTTTTACTGCTTCCTCTTCGTCAGAATGGGTCACCGAGCTGGCGAAAGAAAGCTTCCCATTCTCGCTTCCCTCACTGCTGACAGAATAGCCCCATTGTATATTCCCAGTGTATCAGCGCAAAGGAACATTTTGCTAAGGAAACCGACGTTTTGTTTCCAGGATCACAGAAAAAAACATTTCTTGAGAAAGATTTTAAGAGGATGAAACCACAGGTCTGTCAAAGTTTCTTGCAGGTTTTGCAATCTTTATTTCACTTTCTGGGGGTTTTGTTTCTCACCTTGAAGACGTTCTTCTTGCTGGACAGCTCGTTGGCCCAGTGCAGTTTTGCTCCTCTTAAATCCACACTGCTCTCAGGACGACTGTTTCCCGGTTTCTGCGTATAAGAAACACATTTTTCTTTTACTCTCACGACTCAGTTGCCTGAATTGAACACTTTTTGTTTCTAAAAATTGG